CGAAAACCCACTCACACAGGACAGTATCTGAACCAGGAATCCAACCACCATCAATCGACTAAGAAAGGAATCATCAAGACTATTAAAAATATGAACATATATTGGAAACGAGAGTACCAACATAAAAAATCTCTAATCGAATGTACGCAGGTCGCGAAATTTGAAGTTCTACCTCATAAACCTCCTGAAACCCCTTTCTGAACTAGCCATCTAAGATCCTTCAAAATTCTTGCGAAACTCGAGGATTAAATCGAACGCATTAGCCTTGTTATATCAAGCCACCCAATGACACTGCCATTGCTTCTAGCTCTTGTCCACGGACTATAACTGCGTAATCAGTGATAAAAAATGAACACTGAAAAATCATCGAGTTCTTCGAACGTATATGAAAAAAGTAATTATGACGATAACGAATAGCAATCGCATAATTGGGTAGTGAATTTAAATTAGTGTCCACGCAACAGCATCAGCAGGAAACGGGAATACGTGAGAACCGAGATGATTATTTAGTACCACCGGATCGGAAGAGGAATGGGTTCCAGTACAGTATTTATCACGATATAATTATGCGGAGTTCATTCATAAAGTGTTGGTAAAGTTTAATCAATGAATATCTATGGTTCATGATCAAGACTGTTTATTACCTTACTTATGTAGTATACAGGAGTATTTTATTTCACTTTGCCAAATAACTGAGTCATAAGAGATGAAAATGTGTTAATGTTTTATTCCAAAACCCTGTTTCAAAGTAATTTTTGTGGGAGTGAGTTTTCTGTGTGACTTTCAGATAATTCGAAATTTTCTAAATGTATGAGGAACACTGAGGAAACCCTGGATAATTTCACTAATAAGATTTATTTTCCTTAGCAAAAAAAAAACAACGAAAACTCAGTCATCAACATTGTAGTAAAATCATGCCTGCAATAAAATAGTTGAAATGAGAATGAACATCACAGATATATCAATTTTAGAAATTCTTGAGAGTATGTTGAAATACTGTAGTCACCCTACATAAGAATGTAGGTATGCAAATATTTTCTGATTCTTTCTTTTGCCATGATCCCCGTTTATCTCTATACCATAGTTGTGGTTTTGAACCGTTATTGAGTGTTTTTTTTTATATTGGTATTGGGTATTTTCATTTTATCGAATCTCCAGAGGTGTCGATGAAAATATCTGTGGCTTGCACGTGAAAGTGTTGAGTATTTTGTCGAAAAAAGTCCTAGTAAAAATGTAGCTTGAAAAGTCCAAAATATAGTGTCTGTAGTTCCAATACAAACGAAGTACTGTCATTACGTCCGAGGTTGGGGTTCCTCAAAGATCGGTACTGGGACCTATCTTGTTGGTGATATATGTGACTTCACCAGTTCTACAACTACCGTTATGATACATGTGGAAAGCAAATGTTACCAAGTATTTGAAAATCTAAACAAAAGTTTTAACTTGTGATGCACTGTTTGGAACCTTTGGTGTAGTAATGATAATTACTGAAGTTGAATCCCAAGCCCAAACCGTTATTTTTAACACCTCAATACGTGACTCGGTCACCAGGAAGAGGAAGATTAAACTAAATATACTAACAATATTGTCCTTATTTATACCATACATACACCTACTAGGTACACGCGTCTTAAATTAATTTTACATCTACTAGTCTCAAATTATGAATTTCATCAGTTCGGACTTGTATTGTCTGATATTATAATAAATGATTTGAAGTCCCTGAAAGAACTAATCATCACACGAAGACGATTGTGAATACTAACAATCGAAACATCGTGAAGTAACTTGGATTGGAATCTCTTAACTTTTTATTTTCTGAGTTTCATTTTTTGTTCTATTTTTATTTGTATTATATTTTACTATCATTTCATTTCAGGTTTTTTTGCTTAATATTATTGTTATTCTCAGCTATTCATTTTTAATTCTTCTTTTTAATTAGTTCTTTTAGGGATTTCAAACCATTTTATATAGTATCACACAATGGAAGTCCAAACTAGTGGAATTCATCATGAAACATCGTCAATCACCTTCAAACAAAAGTCTCAAATTAATTTTACAATGTTGCCTAATCTAATAGTCAGATAAATCTATCAATTAAATTATTATTTCAACTAGCTATATAGTATACTATTAGGTATTGGTCCACCATCGTTATTCACAATATTTATGTTATTATGTTTACCTACTTATTTCTATACTCTCACAGGCATCGAGATGGCTGTTATTGTTAACTTGTCCAACTAATCTTAATGAACTAAAGTAGGTATATGTAATGGATTTGATGCAAAATATGATGGGCGACTGCTGATTTTTCTGATCTTCCACATTTCTGGTGCGCTAAGTGTTCATTATGTCTTATTTTGATACAGACTAATACAGACTAAAAGATCGATTAAAATAAGATATAAAGAGCACTAAACGCACCTAAAATATGGAGGATCAGAAAAATTAGCAGTCGCCTATTATATTTTGCATCAAAACCATTACATATACTTTAGTTCATTAAGATTAGTTAGACAAGTTAACAACAACAGGGATTTTGATGCCTATGAGAGTGTAGAAATAAGCAAACATATTAATATTATGAATAACGATGGTGAGCCAATACCTAATAGCTTGTTGAAATAATATTTTAATTATCAGATTTACGTGACTATCAGATTTACCTGACTATAAGATTAGGCCACATTGTAAAATTCATTCGAGGCTAGTAGATAATGCAATATTGTCAAATTAATTTTGAGACAATTCAGGTACCTAGCAGAGGTATAAGGACAATATTGTACGTATATTTAGTTTAACCTTCCTCTTGAAGACGATCACTTGGTGATCGAAATGGGTCCTGTCTCATCTGTGAGATATTCTGTGGTAATACGGAAAAGAGGTCATTGACTGGACTATACGTGGATCTCCTTGTGAAATTCCCAAACCGAGGAAATAATAGACAGTCATTATTGCGTGAAACGTTTTTATTAAAAACTTCATCAATCACTAGCTCGCCGGGCACTTGTATGGCGTGTTATCTCTGCAACAAAACTCTCTTCCAGCTGACAGATTGGTTCCGTGCCATTTGTCACTGTGGTTTTTTATGAATAGGTAGGCTCTCTCTTTGAAGACGTTCTCTCTGTCAACCGTAGCGCAAATGATCTCGCTACTCTTTGGCAGGTGTTTGATAATCTGAAACGGGGAATAGGAATTAGTTACTTTGTCTGTGAATTACATACTCACAGGGTTATATCGAAATAGAGAGAGGGACTGTAAATATTAGTATAATATTATATCACACAGCTTTCAGGTGAAAAATGAAAACAAACAAAGTAAACTGTTGAAAGTAGGTACACTGACGATAACTAAAAAGAAAAGAAAATATTTGTAGTCTAAAACTCGAGAAAATGAAAAATATGTATTAACATTTTTGGAAAAGCAAGATTAGGTTAGGTTAGTTTTTTTTTTGAAATTTCGAAAATATTGTACCAGAATACTTTTTAATATTGTTTCGCATTTATTGCGCTTCTTGCTGCTCCATCATAAACATACCCTAAGATCACTGTAATATTCATTAAATTAACCACCAGAATATTTAGATTTTATCTTCTTGAATATTCCTTGAGAATTTGAGAGCAGATTCCATTTCAATTTGAAGAATGGCGTAAATCAGTGTAAGCATTAACTGGGAATCAGAAAGAATCTCATTGTCAGCTTTGCTTGTTACTGTTAAAAATGATTCGACAGTAAAACAAGAGAAAAGATGAAATGACCTGGAGACTTGATCAGGCAAGTTGAGACCGGAATTACTGAAAGCAACTCTGGAATTATCTATCATTATTGTATACTCCTTTCATATGGCCTTGGCCTGTTGGATGTGAATAAATAAATACAAAAAAATAAGAGCACTATTAAGTAAAATAACAAAATGTAGGATAACAAATTTACTAAGACCACAAAAAAATATCTGGGTGGAGATCAAGAAGGGGAATATATGTATAGAGACTTCTAGAAACTTGAAGAAATCTCACAGTATTTAGAAACATGATAAATGAACGATTCCAAACTGACAAAATATAGTTTAAATCATGCACACAGGAAAGGAATCTCCGGCAAAAAGATAACAATGTGCATTGATATCAGACAATCCCTATTAGCCTTGAACAGACACCGTGTTACCTCAGAGCTAGTACTAGAGTGCCATCAAGATGTAGTCAAAGCCTCGATGGATAATAACATTAACCTGAGGTGGGTTAAATGACACGACAGAAGTAAAGGTAATCGCATTGCCGACTCTTTAGCCAAGGAAGCGGCTGGACTAAGAATTTTAGGACCCAGTGGCACCTACGGCCTGATGACTTCGACAACTTCGGAACTAGCCAAACGTCACACCCATGCTCAATCCCTGAAGAGATGGAATGAAATTAAAGGATGCAATCTTGCCAGGATCACCCTGGGCAACCCTGGGAAGCTGTTGCCGAAGAAATATCTGGCGATGACCAGGAAAAATCCACGCTTAACAGTAGGATTTCTGACTGCCACTGTCAACTAAGGAAACACCTCCACAATATGGGGCTAGTGGACACACATAAATGCAGGATGTGTGAACAGGAAGATGAAACTGTCAGGCATGTCCTTTGCGAATGTCCGGAGTTATCGTCAATAAGAGAGTGTGTGTTCGGCGAGTCTTGGCCGACACCTGCCTATATAAAGGAGATGTCTCCCAGAGACCTGTCCATCTTCCTGGAAAGGACAGGATGGACGATGACCTAGGAGGACAACTCCTTGGGAGGATGTATAATGAGTCACATATGGCCTAAGTGCTGTGGGCCTACGCTCACCCTCCCCACTCTACAAGATACAGATACAGATCATATAAACACTTTCACACGGATATCACAAGGTGCACATGAAAGATATTGCAGTCATAGAGAATATAATGAATAAATGAGTTGAAATAGTCTATATACAGTGCCTTGTGAGGTGATTAGACATATGAATAAGATAAGTAAAGAACATTTTTATGTTAAACGGTTTTATTGAAACCTAAAGATAATTATGATGCAGATAATGTTCTGAAAATTAAAAAATAATTCCGAAGGTCCTAGGTAGGAATCATCACACCCCTCTCTTCAGCAATATACGGTACTGATCAGATAAAAAATAAATAAAATCATTGGTCATAGTGTAACCTGAATAAATGTAAAGTGTAACCTGAATAAATGTAAATACTTCGGTAGATTGCTGAGGAGAGTGGTCTGATGACTGCTACCTACGACCTTCCGAATAATTTTTTAGTTTTTAGTACATTATCTACATCATTATTATCTTTTTTTTTCAATAAAACCGTTCAACATGAATTTTCTTTTATTTATTTCATTTTCAGGTTTTTAGTTTCTAATGTTGTTGTTCCTTTTAGTTTCATTATTATTGACCATATTGTTTCTATGAGTAGGTAATAGACATGATAACGGTCGACCCCCCAGAGGTCTAATAGAGGGGCAAGGCATTATATACAACAAAATGTGCCTGAGTCTTGAGGAGAAAACGCCAAGTTATTTTGAAAAAAGGCAATTTTGGACCAAATTGTCACACAGGTCTCGACACGTTACAAAATCTTGTTTTGGGTAGGAAATCCATACTTGTATCCCGATTGTGAGTTGACAAAGTTCTTTGTTTAGATTATAATGAATTTGCATCTTTTTTGTAGTGTACTACTGTAGTACTAGTCAAGTCCTGTCATTTGATACCCATATTGAGGTAGTTGTGATAAAATATGTAATCCGCCATATTGTAGCTGGGGTCATCTTAGATTTACAATGATACATAATTTATTACAGAAAGGGGGTCAAACTTCAATTACTTAATTTGACTCAAACGAACAAAAATGGAAAGATGAATAAAACCGTTTAAAAATGAGAGTAAAGCTTTTAGGCTGTCTACATCTCTTCCTTATTAGTCAGTGGGCTATGCTTGAAGACTGACAATAAACAAATCTAAAAAAATGAACAACGTTCAAGCCAGTCTCGAATATACCTACACAGTAGGTTGAATGGACTGACGCCTATCAGAAAACAACTACTCCCGTGGCTAATACCACGAAGGGCGTTGGATTATATCCGACAGGTATCAGTGCAGGAGTCTTCACAGAAAAGTTCCTGCATATGCAATTGGCAATACAACTGAAAGAGTCGACCTTCAATTTTGAAACGGACACACTTGCAGACTGGTTTCGGACTCATTAGCCACTCTTCAGTGCAAGATACTGGCCATCATCAACCTAAAGTCAATGATATTCCATAACTGAAAATCCTTCCTAAGTTCATTTCTTTAGATTTGTTTACTGCCAGTCTTCAACCATAGCCCAGTGACTATTAAAAAAGTTTTTCTTCCTTATTCAGAGAAATCAGGCAAATTTCAGTTATGCAGTTGGTTAGTACCTCGTCCACTAGATGAAGTGACATTTTGTTGTTCGCTCCAACTTGGGAAGAGAAATGAAATACTCTGAAAGAATTCCGATTTTCAATTATGGAATTTCATGATATTTTAGGTCGATGATGGCCACTATCATGCACTGACGAGTGGCTAATGAGTCCGAAACCTGTCTGCAAGTGTGCCGTTCCAAAATTGAAGGTCGACTCTTTCAGTTGTATTGCCAATTGCATATGCAGGAAATTATCTGTGAAGATTTCTGCACTGACGCCTGTCGGATATAATACAACGCCCTTCGGGGTATTAGCTAGGGGAGTAGTTGTTTTCTGATAGGCGTCAGTCCATTCAACCATTCAACCTACTGTGTAGAGACTGGCTTTATACCTACACAGTAGGTTGAATGGACTGACGCCTATCAGAAAACAACTACTCCCCTGGCTAATACCACGAAGGGCGTTGGATTATATTCGACAGGTATCAGTGCAGGAGTCTTCACAGAAAAGTTCCTGCATATGCAATTGGCAATACAACTGAAAGAGTCGATCTTCAATTTTGAAACGGACACACTTGCAGACCGGTTTCGGGCTCATTAGCCACTCTTCAGTGCAAGATACTGGCCATCATCAACCTAAAGTCAATGACATTCCATAATTGAAAATCCTTCCTAAGTTCATTTCTTTAGATTTGTTTACTGCCAGTCTTCAATCATAGCCCAGTTTTTCTTGCTTATTCAGAGAAATCAGGCAAATTTCAGTTATGCAGTTGGTTAGTACCTCGTCCACTAGATGGAGTGACATTTTGTTGTTCGCTCCAACTTGGGAAGAGAAATGAAATACTCTGAAAGAATTCCGATTTTCAATTATGAAATTTCATTGATTTTAGGTCGATGATGGCCACTATCATGCACTGACGAATGGCTAATGAGTCCGAAACCGGTCTGCAAGTGTGCCCGTTCCAAAATTGAAGGTCGACTCTTTCAGTTGTATTGCCAATTGCATATGTAGGAAATTATCTGTGAAGATTTCTGCACTGACGCCTGTCGGATATAATACAACGCCCTTCGGGGTATTAGCTAGGGGAGTAGTTGTTTTCTGATAGCCGTCAGTCCATTCAACCATTCAACCTACTGTGTAGGTATATTCGAGACTGGCTTGAACGTTTTTCTATAGATTTGTCTACATCTCCATCGTCAAACAAAAAATGTGGAAAATTTTCAAATAGGAAGTAAACAAAATAACTACCATGAAAACTCTCCACTAAGATGCATTAAATTTATTTTAGATAAAATCTGAAAGGAAAAAACCCTTTCAAAACAATTATTTCAATATAAAAATTGATTTGCACGAAAGAAAAAGGGCATTTCGAAACAATTGCTATCATTCGAAATGGAATTGAAACAGATATCACTAATAAAAATACTTCACAACGGAATATATAGAGTGGTCCAACGAAAAGTATGCACCTTGCTTTTCTCCTTTTTTTGTAACTTGCAACTTTTTTTGTAACTGGACGTAAGTGTCTTTTTGGTGATACAAAACGTCAGGTTAATTTCAATATTGTAACTTTTTCAGTGCTTGTGAAAAAATTGTTATACTAATTTTATGTACCCCCTTTAAGGGGCTGTATCTTAACAAGGGATGCTCCAATGAAGTTTCTTTATATGAAAGATCCTACCTTCTTTCGATGAGGAATCACCTCCCTAAATGTTTTACACTTATTCAGTTACACCCTGTATTGTTGTAGGTAAATTTAGAATTCAG